TAAATAAGACTGACGTAGCTGTTCCAACAATTGTTTCTGCTTACTACACACTCGTTTAACCATATTGTTTGACTAACCAATGGAATAATGGTCAAGAATATATTGAACAGTTTCAACAAATATGTACCAGTTTGGATATCGATTCTAGAGAAGATTATGATAAAACAAGTGCTAAATTACTACTTGCGACATCTGTTTTTCTGTTTAGGCTTACTCGACGAAATATTCAATCTAATAAAACAACTTCCTGATGAATTAGCATCGATGTGCAGTATAAATTACTTTCTATCTATAACACTTAGTAGTATTAAACGTGTCTTCTAAAAGTTAATAAACATGTTGAAAGTATTTTTTCAAATTACTTGTATAGGAAGCTGTTTCATCATGCAAGTATAATCAAATTTCTTTTAAGCTGCTGATATCTTTCACTTAGATGTCAAATCTTGGCATTCTAAATATAATATTGTTTTCTGAACTCACTCCTTTTCATGTTGAAAAATAAAAAAGAAACAGAAAATTGTATTGTGATGATGACATTTCCACATTCGTTGGTTGAATAACTGTGTCACTTCATATACGTAATAAGAATCGTGAAAGAAAAATAATATTATTTCCATATTTTCAGAGTAGTTTCAGTGTGCGGTAAGTTAGTGCCCAACTGGTCAAGAGAATTTATTTATTGAAATCTACAGGCTTCATTACATTTTCTCTCATCTAGTTATTCTATCGAAGAAGCAATGCCATTTGACAATCATTCAACTATAATAACCAACATTGAATCATGGTTTATTCCTTTTGACATTCTTATGATTGTGTGTACTGTCTTGGCCATCGCATTAGCATTGATTTTTTTATTAACTATTACTCTTGATAAAACATGTCACACAGTACCAATGATGCTCGTTGCAAATTCATGTTTAGCTGAAGTCATATTTGGAAGTGATGTGCTTGGTATGGCTTTGTTTACATTTCAAAATGATCTTCATCAAATTCAATATCAAGATTCACTTTGTATCTTTCGAGGCTTTTTGGGTTATGTAGTAACTATTTTACAAAATTATTCTTATCTATTACAAGCTATCTATCGATATATCACTGTTGTTTATCCAACTCGTTTATTTTGGCAATCAGTTCGATTTCAAGTTTGTCTTATACCTGCGACATGGATTTTTGGCTTTGTATGTCCTTTACCATATATACTTAATCATGAAATCAAGTATAATATCAACAATCAAATATGTCAAATGCCTCTTCAACTTTCTTTCTTAGCAATTTATAATGCGCTATGTGTCTATATGATTCCTGTCTCATTAGTTATGCTAATCTATTTCAAATTAATTCGATATGTTCAAGATATGAGTAAACATGTTATACCGACTAATACATTATATCGAGCACAAAGAGAATTAAAAATGGTTCGTCGAATAATGATTCTTGTCATGGGTATTGTTACGATTGGTTTTCCTTTTGCATTATTTATTTTTATATCATTTTTTACCACACCACCAAATATCATTTTCGAATTGCATACATATTTGTTGATACATCATTGGCATTTGTAATGATTGCTCTATTTCAATCTTCAGAACCATTGAAAATATCTATAATGAAAAGGATAACTAGACAAGCAAATGTGGTAATACTAACACTAACGTAAATGGTTAAATTTCAATTAGTGACAAAATTGAATAATTCGAAGACGTGTGAAGTATTATCTATATTATTAATTGAAAATATTGCATTGCAAAACAATGTTCTTTTTTTTGAAAAGATTCGAAATGGAATCAATTTTTGTATATTCGTATCAGTTTGCAATGGTTCAGTTTTGTTCATTTAATTTTTTTTTCTATCGAAAATTAGATGTACGAGTGCATTTATCAACACTAAATGATCTTAAGGCTAGACTTTTGTTATTTCTAGAAAAATGTCAAAGTCGTTATTATTTTTTCGAGCAGATATTTTCTATTACGTACAAAACATTAGTTTGCCACTGATCATCATGAATTATGAAATACAAATCGACGAGAAACACATGAAATGCAAGTGAAAAGACGAATTACCGTAAATTTCTCTTTTCTCATATATTGAATAAAGATGAATAATTGGAGAATCATCATTTTCGCGATTCACTCTGAGATACATCAGTTGATATCGTAATAAATTTTATAAAGTTTATTAGTTTGAATAATCCTCTGGTTGAAAGCATTTTGAAAAATTTCCTATTGGAAAATAATCTGATTTGCTGTAACTCTTGAACATCTTTTCCAAGATTTTAAATTTTAATAATCAATTAGCAACAATCTGTAATGTCTTTTTAATGATTATAAGTCTTCATTCGAATTGAAATCATGGCGAGTTTGATGGCAATTACTACTGCTGTAAAACAAAAAAATGGAGATATTTTCTTCCCTGAATCGTTTAACCTTACGATGCTCTTAAGAATGTGATCGAACGAATTATGGTCAGTTGTAGCTTCACAACATAATCAAGAGAGATAAAAAACGCTGTGAATCCTGAGTAGTGCTGCTCATACTAAAAGTTTTTTCTTTAGGTAGAATGATCTTGTTTTTTCTCAACAACTGTAATTATATGTTGCACAATCTGTATGAAATTTCTCAAGTGAAGAGTCATTGTCATCATGCAATCAAATTGATAATTCGCTAGTATTTCGCACAAAAACTGAAAGAAAGAGAAAATGTGCCAGCTTTATTCAAGTGTAGATAGAAGCATTTGCGTGCGTTAATCTCGGAACAGGATAAAAAAGAAGAGAATGATAAATTTGACAAGGTGGAGTAAAAAAGATCTTCTCATCATCACGCATAGCGGCACATGCCTTCTCTCATTGAAATCTTTTTTTCGACGTTTCATTTTATATCTTTTAATCCGAAAGGAATTTTCATCCAATAATCATTTGTTCATTTCCTTTGCACACGACAATAGAAATGCTTGTATGATTGATTAACATGATATTAATTTTTGTCGTTCGGTTTATTCAGCGCAGTAGATTCGATCATGATTTAAACCTTTGCATTTCATCTTGAAATTCGAGCCACTTCATTCAGAAAATGATAAGAGTTGAAATTGATTCTGATACTGAATTGAGCAATTGAATTCGAATTACAAAGATAGATAAATCGGTCGAAAACAAATATGTCAACTACATCGATCCAGAGATTAGTATTCGCTTTCGAATTCTTGAGATCTCAGATCTCCGAGTTTAAGAACAGTAAATAACTAGCACGTTGATGCAATGAAGCTAGACTTTGCGCAACCGTGCACGAGTAGCGAAATACGCTAAAAATCAGTTAACCCCTTAGTTTAAATTCATTCTACAAAGCGAATGACCGAAGATTGTATCCAGATTAAGCTTTGATTTACTGACTTTGAAGCATTTGTTTTCAATATTGATCAGCCTAAACTCTTTGGAATCGATCTATTTTTGGTAAGAAAATGTTCGTCGATCTCCCGCCTAAGTGACGGATTGGTGCCTTGACGAGATAGAACGATTGTTCCCTGAACGCTAATGGAAATACTAGTGCTCCTAGCAGAGCTGGAACCAGTTCGGTAAGAAACACTCAATCAAACCAGTAAAAACAAAATTTTCACCGGTTGTAAGTGTGAGTGTGGATAATCTCTGTATCCCGAACCACACCCACACTCCCACCGATGTTCACACCCTCAGTTATTTTATGATTCATGATAGCGTTGTTATATGCGAAATGGATTTTGTTTTTCATGGAAAATATTTTAAGAGTCATGTACCTTTTTACTTTATTACGTTTTTCAGATGTGATCTTCTAATTTCTATCTATTTCCCATATTTACGCAGTTAAAAGCACTCGTATTTCAATATTACAGAGTCAATTAGTAGCGTATTCTCTTTCATGAGTTCTATCGACTATATTTCAAATTTGAATACATAAGCGCACCCTCTTTTAGTGTTTTTATTTGATTGAATACATTGATTCGATCAATGATTTTTTTTCTCGTTTTGTGACCAATCATATGCTTTAGGGTCTCAAATTGTAAAAGCCTCCGGATTTTTCCATTAACTTTCCATTGAGATCTATCAACGCTCCGAGTTCGCTATATCACTAAAGACTTGACAGATTATAACCAAGGGACATGTATAATATTTATTTAGAACTGTTACTTAACTCACTGCCCATTCTGACCGGTCGTCCACACTTAGGTCAATTATATTTTCGTAGGATGTGAATGTCTAGTGTCCCTTAATCCACATCGATACTTTTGTCCGAGAGTTCTCAACACATTGCACATCCATTATCATTGCGCTAAGTACTAGTGACTGATGGATATGGAGGAAATACTTTGTCCAATTGCGAAACCTACAATGTGTCATAGAATACATAGAGTGAAGCTGCAAATATGTTATCGGCGCACTTTCAGTACACAGCTACTACACTATCATCTGACAAAATGTTGGCAGTACGCGGTAACAACGACATGAAGTTGTTGTCAACCAGTGAAATCTACAATGTTTCATCTAACACTTGGAGTCTGGATGCTCAAATGTTGGTATCTCGTGCCGGCTATGCTGCTTCTTTATTATTATCTGGGAAAGTTTTAGTAATAGGAGGTGGTTATAATGAAGATTACTTGTCTAGTTGTGAGCTGTACGATTCATCGTCAAACACAGAGAGCTTGGCTGCAAATATGTCATCGCCTCGTGTTTACCACACCGCTTCTTTACTACGATCAGGAAAAGTATTAGTGGCTGGTGACTATGGGTTATCACGCGGTGAAGTATATGATCCTCTGTTCAATATGTGGAATCCAGTCGTCCACATGCTGGCAACAAATACGCTATAGGCAAACACTTTATTGTTTTCCGCATCATGTTAGTTGTAGATGATTTATGTGTGTACACGTACTACATATGAGATTTATCTCATTATCAAGTGATAAATGTAGACTGTGTTAATCATACAATTGTGAAACGAGCACACTGTCTTCTTTTTTATTTGATTTTGGGTGTGGCTTTGGAGATACTCTTTATTTACATCCACACCCACACCCTAGTTTCATTTCTTTCAAAAGAATAGATACATAGCTATGTAAATGTAAACAATCGAATAATAGCTTTCTATGAAAGTTTCAGTAGCATATTATTATATATTCTAAATAATGAAAAAGAAAGATTGAAAACTTTAAATTTAGAATGGATGAGATCCTCAACGCTGGAGTTATATTTTCTTGTAAAATGATTTTTTTCATTATTTGGAACATAAAATAAAGCGTTACAAAAGATTTCACTACAAAGCTATTACTCGATTATTTACATTTATATAGCAAATGAATTTGTTCTTTGAAAAGAAATAAAATCACACCATTGTATAAATCCTGGCTTTTTACGAATCTATATGGGAAGATAATTTCTGGTCAGTAAAATAAATGAAATGGTCAGTAAAAAAATGGGCAAATGATCAGTGCTAATATTGAATGGTCAGTAGTGAAATGGTCAGTAATTAATTCAAAAATGGTCAGTTTTTTATATAAACATATCAGTAAAAATTTAAAATTTGATAAGTAAATAAATCAAATTCGGTCAGTAAAAAATTTAAATTCGGTCGGTTAAAAATTCAAATTTGATCAGCAAACAACTCAGGTTCTATCAGTAGAAAAAACAAGTTTTATTTCCATAAGGATTAATTTGATATACAAGAAAAGAAATTAAATAAAGACACAGAATAAATAAGAAATCCAAGAGGATAATAAATAGAAATGAAAGAATGGCATGAAAAACAAAGAATGAAAATTGAACTATTGTATTAGTAAAGCAGCCTTAGCTTTCGCTGGTCTACCTCGTTTTCTTTTTTCACCTATTGGTACTGTTTTTGCTGCTGGTGGTGGTTTGCAATGTTTTAAACGAATAGTCATACCAACAATGTG